TCCTAAATGCAGACAGAAAATCCTTCCTTAACCTAGAAACCCTAAGAGGTTTGCCACATAAGTGCTATTGCTTGGGTTTTTTTTTTTTTATGACATTTGTTTTTACAGCTCCTCAAGCACATTTTTATTTACCCATCTCTGTGTGTATTTTAGCAGTAGCCAAGGTGTGATGCTGTGCCTCCGCTTATGAGATACCGTTCTGAGCACTTTTATAGCTACTCATTTTATTATTAGGACAACCTTATAATATAAGAATCATTATTATACCTAGATGAAGAAACAGACTTGATGGTGGTAAGTAGCTGCTCCAAATTTCTGAGTTTTGAGTATAGATAGACAGATGCTTGTGTTCTTAAGTGCAGTTAGGAGCCACACAACATCATTCCAGCTGAATGCATGACGGTTGTCCTATAGTGGATTTTAAAAAATCACTATCATCTAGTGAAATCGTAACCTTTATCATGTTTGCAGTGATGCTGCTGTAATGGGCTGCCTGGGTTACCTGTGTGTAACACACAGGTATAAAGATACCTGATAGTGCTGGGCAGTGGTGTTGAACACCTTTGATTCTAATACTCAGGAAGCAGAGGCAGGCGGGTCTCTGAATTTGAGACTAACTGGTCTACAGTGTGAGTTCTAGGACTGCCAAGGCTACAGATTGAAAAACCTGAGAGAGAGAGAGAGAGAGAGAGAGAGAGAGAGAGAGAGAGAGAGAGAGGAATGAATGCCCAATAGTAAGTGTTGCAATTTTCTCTCTGTTGCTGAAGCACTCTGACCAAAACCTAAAACAACTAAGGGAGGTTAAGGTTTATATTAGCTTACAAGTTACAGTCCATCACAGAGGGAACTCGAGGAGAAACTTGAATCAGAAACCATGGCCACTACTGCTTGTTGTCTTCCCACATGTTTGTGCTTAGTTCCTTTTCCCACCTTCTCAGAGAATGGTCCTGCCTACAACAGACTGAGACTGGGCCTTTCTATATCACTTAACAATCAAAATTCCCCCACAGACATGCCCACAGGCCAGTCTGATCTAAGCAATTCCTAAATTGAGAGTCTCTTCTCAGATGACTCGACTGTCAAGTTCACAAAGCTAACTAGGACACTGACATCTGTATGATAGACTGAGCATATTACACCATACCTTTTTATTGTTTTACAGTCCACCCCTATATATTTCTTTTGTGAGTTTACCCTAAGACAGTGTACTGTGTCCTATCAGCACCAACCTTATATGCTTAGCACTTACTATGCCCTTTAATTGCATCATTTTCTTTTCTGCCTAACTTAATCTTAGGAGACTTTGTTCTACTGGATTTTCTGTTTTAACTGGGTCTCATGTATCCAGGCTATTTTGCATTCACTGTAAAGCCAAGGATGACCCTGGACTTTGATTTTCTGCTTCTGTCTCCCACACCCAGTGTATGCAGTGCTGTATGTAAGTCAAACCCAGGGTGTTGTGCATGCTAAGCAAGCCCTCTACTAACTGAGCTATGCTCTCAGCCCCTAATCTTAAATTGTTCATTCACCAGAGCTTTTCTTCTGCATTTATAGTACATGAGACCATGCCCAAAGTGGGCTGGTATCTTAAAGGCTGTTGGCTGAAGGAGTTCCCACAGCACAAGGGTTTTCTTGTAATGAGGGAAGTGGGACCTGTTTATATGTGGATGTGTCACCTTCCTTATTATGTCTATCATCATTAAACTGAATACTAATTTTCTGGGGTTTTTTTTGAAGTAAAAGAAGTTAAAATATTACACAGTAAAGTAAAAACAATTTATCTCCTACTAGCCTTTGAATTCCTTAATCAGAGGTTAAGTCTTTGATTTTATATTCTTGCCATGTAAGACACTGACTCTAAACTTTATATTGTTTTTTTTAAGTGAGACACAAGGGGGTGTTATTTATCATATCACTTCTAGGTCTTAACTTTTTAAAAATCATTCTCCTTGAGAAATTATAATAGGATGGCACTTTAATATTATTTGTGATCCAGAACCTCTAAGGTCCTTTAAATAAATAAAAAAAAATCTTTGTGTACTTTTTTGCAGATCGATTAACCCTAAGAATATAACGTGTGTCCTCTGGGTTTTCTAATAATATTAAATAATTTTTGCTGAATGGAAAGAGAATTGCTGAATTGTTTTTTGAAGACGGTCTGAATGTTTTCAGCCACACTTAATGTTTTGACTGGATTATATGTAAATCTTAAGAATTAGTTTTATAAACTAAGACTGTATAGTTATAGTCTTTGTTGTTTTTATCTTGTTGTTCATCTATTCCCTGAGATTTTCTGAGCCGATACTTTTTTTTTTTTTTTTGGTTTTTTGAGACAGGGTTTCTCTGTGGCTTTGGAGCCTGTCCTGGAACTAGCTCTTGTAGACCAGGCTGGTCTCAAACTCACAGAGATCTGCCTGCCTCTGCCTCCCAAGTGCTGGGATTAAAGGCGTGCGCCACCATCGCCCGGCTTGAGCCGATACTTTTATCAAACATTAGAGTCATAATCCAATCTATGCCCCAAATTAGGTCTGGACTGTTCTCAGAAAGCCAATTAAAGGTGGAAAGTAGAGAAGAATGTATTCAATGTGGTTACATTGGTCCAAATCAGAGTCCTGAAATAGACCAGGGTTTAAACAGAGGGCAAAGGATATGCTCATCTAAGCAGCGTTAGTTAAGGTGTGCTCGTGCCCATGTTAACCCATTCTTGTCTGAATTTCAGTCTCATCCTGGGAGGTGGTTTCATATACTGTTAGAACTGGGTTTGGGTCTAGATGAAAAATGAAAACAACAGATTTAGCAAGTAAAATTAATACATTTCATTTTGTACATACCACTCACAAACTGTAAAGATTGGGTTAAGAAAACAGGTTTAGCGATGTGAGAAGTGAGAACACCTTCAGGCACACACATCCCAGATAAATGGTATTATACATTTAATAACCTTGTTCATAGTCAATACAGTAAAAGTCACGCTTTTATTGGAAAGGAGGCAAAGATGATGCTATTTATTTTATAAACATATTTTAAAAGAATTAACATCTCAAAATTTAATTAAAAGCTTTCCTTAGAGATATCTTTAGTAAAAAAAAAATGTTATACTTACAAGTAAATGTCATGCCTCTATCAGCACTAAGCAAAAACTGGCCCTCAGTTTCACTTTCTTAGTATATTTGAAAAGACATGCAAAGAAGCTACGATTACGGGCCAGTCCTCAAGTCTGAGTTCTAATTTGTGGGTGTGCTTACCTTTCTAGTAGTCTGCAGCATTGCAGTGTCAGTGCGTGGAGAATGGTCCCAGTTGTGTCACAAGGAAAAGGAGAAACTGGACTTTGACCATGTGCACATTCTCCCACAGAAGACTTGAGGGAAATTAGTGAAACTTCCTTCACAGGCAGCGCTGGCTAGAAAGACTTACTGCTAATCTTTTGCAGTTCCCCGACTTTGATGTTCTGATTCGTTCTTCCTTTTCTTCAACATAGCAATTTTAGATGTTAAAAAGAGAATTATTCCTTTTAATTATTTTGAGGGTTAGAAAATACTAGCAATATTGTTGAAGAATGAACTTTTTTTGTTTGTTTGTTTGCTTGTATGTCAAGACAGGGTTTCTCTTTATAGCCCTGGCTGTCCTGAAACTCACTCCAGAGACCAGGCTGTACGCGATCTCAGAAATCTGCCTGATTCTGCCTCCTGGTTAAAGGTGTGACCACCACTGTGCAGCCAAGAATGAACTTTGTATTAATTAAAACAAGCAGATCTATTGGAGCTTTTACCTGAGTAATATATTCCTCACGTAAACAGTAGAGCTGTGAAATTAAAGGTCACTAGCTAATATCACTTGGAAGATGCACTTTTACAGAGTGGGGTGTAGATGTTATCCATAGAAACTTCCATAATGTATAGTGGAAGAATTATTAGAATGGATTGATAACTGGATATTTTAGTTAATGAGTATAAAATCTCATCTTGGCTGTTGTTAGTGTTAGTTCATCTTTTTAGAACTTTCCATCTACTTTTGTTTCTTGATAGTGACAATGATGAATATTAAAATCTCAGCATCCTGGTAATGAGAAATTTATACTAAGATAATGTTCTTCCTTTTGGAAGTGAGGTCAGAAGTTGTTTTGGTGGTGGTGGCAGTGTGTGTGCTCATTTATACATTTGCTATATGTACTTAGAGAATAAAACAGTGTATATATAACTCCCCCACCAGTCAGTATGCTGTTATTAGTTGGGTATTGACTTTTACTAGGGGTCAGTCACATAAGTGTATATAGTGCCTGTGTGACTGACTGGTTATGTAAGCTAAAGACCCCCCAGAAAGAAAAGTGTCGGCCATAAAGCATATTACATTGATATCTGCTTAGATTGATCAGGTGAGTAAAGTAAGGCCCAATTATCATTTGTGTTCAAAAACACTTATTATCACACAGAGTATTCTAGAAAGTCAGAGCTTAGTTCTTAGGAGCTGACCAAAGACAAGTCCTAAAAGAGGTCATTTGGGGTATATGTGTGCAGGTTTGAACCTATGACTACTGAGGTAACTCTTCAAAAAGTCATACAAGTTACTGAGTTCAATCTGATGATGAGATCTTGTTCTTTCACTAAATAATGTCTAGGGGTTAGTTAGAGTAATTTTGTAATTAAAAATGACTGGCCACATTAGGTATGAAAGAAACTTGGACTCTATCCATTAGAACTCTCTGATGAATTTTTACTCAAATACTTTCCTGAAGAAAACTTATTTGAATATTTAAATTTTTTAAAATTTTAAGTAATGGTGTTGATCCTATTTAATTTTAGTAATTTACAGAAGTTTGTTTTGAATACTAAAATTTAGTTTATCTGAAAGTGGCATTTGCTTTTTATTATGGTCTTGAATTTTCAAAAGAGGTTCTGATAATAGAAGTTTTTATATAGTAAGGATTGTCTGCCTCATATATAAGAAGTTTGAATGAATGTACATACTTTTCAAAATATCTTTTTTCTTTTCTTTTTCCTTAGGTATTTGTGGAAACATTAGATAAATGTTTTGAAAATGTCTGTGAACTGGATTTAATATTCCATGTAGACAAGGTACTGTTTACCATATTGTCAAATATTTTAAGCTTTTTATTTAGGAAAAGCCTTGATTTGTGCTTGTTAGAGTGAAATGCCATTTAATGAACAAAGCTAGAAGGATTCCTACCTAGGAGAGGAAATCACTTGAGCAGGGATTGGTGGACATGGTTGCCTCTGCCTGGGTCTGTGGTTGGAGGAACTTGCACTTAAACTGGATTATAAGAATGAATAAATGGAAAAGGATTCTAGAAAAGGAGAGAACCATACTGGCAAAAGTAAAATACAGGCTGTTCTGTAAAGAGGGATTGGTATTAATCAAGAGAACTGGTTTTGAAGAGCTTTTACTGCCTTGAATTTGGGATTTTATTCTGAAGCAGTTTAATTAAGTTTCTCTTGGCAGTGCTGTTGTTTTGTTTGTGTGTGTTTGGAGGACATTTTTTTCTCCCCTGAAGCATGGAAATTAGTTTTGTAATGCGTTGAGATTTAAAACAAGTGAGTTAAGAGCTTGTTGGAATAGGCAGAAGGAAATTTCCACCAAGGGAGACTAAGGGAAGATTGGGTCAGTGTCGATGGCTCCTAAAGCTGAAGGAGACTGGGTTTCTGGCCACAGTTGCTGCGTGTTTGGAGGTGATGGTCCTAAGAGGAAGAGCTCCCAAAGAATGCAGACTGGTTACTGTCCTAAGTAAGTAATCTGATGGCTTGGGGCTTTCTTTTGGTTTGTTTGTTTTGTGTTTTCTTGTTGTTAGCTTTTCAATTTTTCAGTTACTTGTTATTTTGCATATGTTTTGTCTGCATGTATGTTTGTGCACTACATGCATATGTGGTACCTGCAGGAGCCAGAAGAGGGTGTCTGATGGATCTCCCCGAGCTGGAGTTACTGACAGGTGTGAGCTGAGATGTGGGAGCTGGGGGTTGAATCTGGATTAAGAGCAGCCAGGGCTCTTAATCAGAGCCATGTCTCTAGCCCCTGTTGCTATTTTTGAGGAAAGGGGGTTGTAAGTTGTAAATGTCTCAACTCTGAGGGGAAAGGTTTCCCCAGTGTTGCAGCTCTGAAGGGAAAATCCTGGCGTTTGTGAACCACGGGATACCACAAAGTCACACAGCACAACGAACCTTTACACAAGAGATTTATTGGGAAAGACACTAGGAGGTGGCCGCCTCTGCTCTGGTGAGAAACAGAAATAACTGAGCAGGAAACAGACTTCATATAGATTTCTTGGGCAGGAAGAGCTTTCCAGGGTGCCCTGATCTTGGGCCTTTTTTTTTTTTTTTTTTTTTTCCCTGTTGAGCAGGGCCTGGCCATTTTCCTGCCCTGAGGGGCTGGGTTAGTTGTTTCCTGTAGAGAAGTCTGGAAGGAAGACCTTACAACAATTCACAACATTCTGGTTAGAAAGGAGTAAAACATACATTTAAAGCTTATGAACTATGTATTTCTGTGAGTTTTCCACCTTATATTTTTGGATCAAAATTGAATGCAGTTAAATGAAACTTTCAAAAAATTAAAAATGCAGATGAGAGGGAATTCTGTAATTAATATTTATCACTTATTTAGTTTGATTACTTTTATAGATTGTCTAATTCAATCCTTTCAGTAATCTTGTGGAGAACTAATGCTATCTGTTTTCAACTCATTAAACTTAATGCCTACATAAACTGTATGAAACCCGAAGTTTCATAGTACTAGTGAAAGTGGAATCTGATTACAGTTTATTACAGCAGATTTTATAAATATTTATTTATTTATTATGTATACAATATTCTGTCTGTGTGTATGCCAGAAGGCCAGAAGAGGGCACCAGACCCCATTACAGATGGTTGTGAGCCACTATGTGGTTGCTGGGAATTGAACTCAGGACCTTTGGAAGAGCAGGCAATGCTCTTAACCTCTGAGCCATCTCTCCAGCCCTTACAGCAAATTTTAAAACAAAAATGACAAAATAGTTAAACTCTTTGTAGTGAATTTCTGTGTTTACACTATTTTTTCCTTTTAGGTTCACAATATTCTTGCAGAAATGGTGATGGGGGGAATGGTATTGGAGACCAACATGAATGAGATTGTCACACAAATTGATGCACAAAATAAACTGGAGAAATCTGAGGTAAGGCTGGAAAATGCTTTAGTTAGTGAAGGTTCTGAGCATGCCCGAGAGCTCATGCATGACTCTGCAGCCTTCACTGTGTGTCCTTCAGCAGAACGTTTAGGTACACCTGGAGTACCCTTCAGTTTCAGAGTGAGCACATTTTATGTCAGAATGTCCCAAGACTGCCAACCTCCAAAAAGCTTATGTATTCTTTTAACCACAGTGGGAGTGTGCCTTCAAATACTATTTTAAACTATTTCTGGAGGGAGGAAGAGGAGAGGAAGTAGAATTCTTGAGGAAGTCATGTTTTGTAATAGGTGTTTAGTCAGTCTGCACATTGAGAAAAATAGATTCAGTACTTTATTCTTTTTTAGGTCCTTCCCAAAGCTAAATAACAAGTTAGTTGTATATTTTATTCATTAATACATACATTGTACTGTATTCTATGATGGAAACCTGTTACTTGTGGCTAACTGAACAGGTTGAGTAAGAACATTTACACTTCCGTGCTGTGTGACCCTCCTTTAGAGTTTTAGTCACTCTTCTCAAGAACTGGGCTGCAGGTGAGCGGCAGGTGCTGTGCCTGACCCACTCAAGTTCACATTATCTTGGGATGTTGCTTCTGACACAAGTGAGAAAGATGAGCAGTCTTGATAACGTACAGCATTTCCCTTATTTAAAGACTCTCTTTTGTTTATTTTTTTGAGACAGAGTCTCACTGCGTTTCCCTGGCTGGCCTGGCGCTCACAGAGATTCACCTGTGTCTTTCTCGTGGGCACTGGGATCTCAAGGCATGTTTACCATGCCCAGCCTTTAAGGATTATTCTTGCATTTTATAACTCAGATTGAAAAACAAAACAAAACAAAAAGAATTATTAGTGGAAGTTCAAACGCATATTGCTGTAAAAAGAGTGGGATTACTGTTACTAAATAAATTTATAACAGGTGAGTTCCAAAAATATGATATTTGGTTGGTGATATTTGAAGTTCAGTTTGATACAGTTTTATGCTCATTTTAATTGAAGGATACACAGGGTTTGAATGAGAAACAGATGAAGCTCCTTATAAAACCACTTTCCTGTATTTTAAAGTAAAGGTAGTCTTCCAGGTCTCTTTCTCTCAATCTGCCATGCCTGTTGGCTTTCCAAAGGGGAGACTTTAGTGGTGATGCAGAGTGTGAAGTCAGGACTCGGAACTGTATCTGTATGTTCTGCCACCTCTTTGTGCATTACTGAGTTTTGAAAGCAGAAAATATGCAACAGACAGTTTTGTTTTAGGTCAAGGAAAAGAACAGTTTTATTTAGTATATTTATTTGTAATATTATTTAGTACAGTAAAAAAAACTATTAAAATATTGGCTTGAAATGTATGCAAATTGTTCAGCATTGCTTCAAAAAACCGCGAAAGTAGTTTTAAAGTAGGGTTTAAATGCAAGGACACGGTAACAATGCCTCACTGATTGCTCTAAAGTGAAAGGTTAATTTGTAAACTCTGTAATAATCTCTAGTCATACACTGGTCATGTGACTGGTTTGTTTCATATTGAGGGACTCATCTCCTGTTAGTGGCAATCCCTCCTTCTCCTCTTTTTTCTTTCTTTTTGTTTCCTGTTTACTTTTGTTCTATATAGTGTTTTATATATAGTCACGAATAAGAAGTACATTTTGCATATTTGGTTTTTCAGTAGACCATATTAATAAGACAGTTTTTTTTTAAGCTTTGGAGAGTGGCAAGATACAGAATTCACATTTTTGATGGGAATGCTGTGGTTTTATAAAATTGCTATGCAGAGATTTTTTTTTACGGCATAATCTTATTTAAAAAGTTTAGAATATTGGTGCTTGTTTATAATGGTTATCCACTGGCTGTGTTCTAATAAGTATACTCAGCTGTTATCTGCTGCCAAATTATTTTTTTTCTGCGTGTGTACTTTGCAAGAATGTATATTTTAATCAGATAAGGAATAAGCCACCAAATTATGTTATCATGTGTTTCTTTACATTTGACATTTTATTTATTGAAATTATATTAAAATTATATTGACTTCATGCAAGTTGTCATTAACTATATTTTTCAATGTTTGGAAGACCACACACTAAAATTCAAGTTTTCATATGCTTTAATTTTTTAAGTTAACTTCATGTATTTAGACCTAACCAGCCAGGTGGCTCTACTGATGAATTTAAAATTATTTAGAGAGTAAAGTATTAATTTTTAGTAAATTTCAATTATAACACAAAAATAACAAGGAAGACTTAAATAAAATTCAGATTCGTAAAAAGAACTGATCATATTTTAAAAATATGAACTATTTTAGGATTATCTTCTAGCTTTTGAAAATCATCCTGAATATAATTAAGATATGGCTTTTAAAATATTAATTTATTAATTTATTTAGGTTATCTGTCAGAAATCAAATATAGGGACTTGAAGATAGTCCATTTCCAGTTTAATTCCCAGCCTCCAGACAAGTAGGACAGGTCTGTCTGGTCCCAAGGAGAAAGGCAAAGGCACGACGATGTGTTTCACCTGTGTGGTGTGAGAGAAAAGATGGTTTATTTTCTTTTGGGGATTTTGGGAGAGACGGGTTTAAGATGGGATATTGGTGGGGACTGGGGAAATTTGAGAGGCACTGAGCAATCTGCCAGGGAATAAAAGGAATTCTGGGGGTGGTAGAGGGTTGGGGTGGGAGACTTGTTGGAATTATGTATTCTGGTTATTCTTAAGGTGGATAAATGGGTCTGGATTTAGTTACTACTTTTTAAGTCAGTCCTCCTTTTTTCCTGAACATCCTGATCTTTCTAGCTCTTTCCATTCTTCTCTCTTACAGACCTTTATCTTTCAGTCTCCCAGACAGGACAGGTAGACAAGGTATTGCTGACTTTGAGAAAACGTACTTAACAAAGGGAAAGCAAAATGATGTCGAAGGCAATTATTTTTTAGGCCAGACTCAAAAATTCTTTGTGTTGATGAACCCATATAGTCCCTGTAGCCTATTTTCCATTCTAGTTTATCCTTGTAGTTTCTTCATCTTTTATTGGATGTAGTGTATTTTACTAGTATATCATTGGCGTCATGTTTGTTCTGTTTTGTCTGCCTGCATTGTAAAAGGAAATTTTAAATTCTTTGTTTGTTTGCTTCTTTTGTAAAAACATGGTCATTTAATTGAAAACTTCCATTTGTAGAAATAACAATTTACTTTATATGTAAAGTTAATTTTTAGCATCCCCTAGAACCAATCTCAGTTAATTCTGGCAGTATATATAGATATGCCTGTATTTTTTTTAAATTCTACATTAATTTCCTAATATAAAATTACCTGCTGGGTTTTGGAAGCTATGAATTTGAAAATCAAAAGCCAAACCTTGTGTTTTCTGTATGAAGTGGGAAGCAGTGAATGTGTAGAGTTATGACTGCTAAATAGAGTCCTTTCCTCCAAAAATGGTTTTCAGTTCCAAAGTCTTAACAGAACAGTGGCCAACAAAAAGACCAAATTTTAAAAAGATGAACGAAGTGCTCGAAAAATAAATATATACCAAAATCCAGACATTGAAATGCATTATTATGTCTTATAAAACTAATTTTTCTTGTTTATGCTATACATGTAAAAACCTCCACACTCTCCCCACACTCTAAAACACACACATATACACACCTTTGATTGTTCTTGTTTCACACCATAAATTAACAGTGAATTACTGTTTAAAAAGTTTTATAATGCTGATGATAAGCAATCTTTTTTGAACAAAACCATGTTAGGAAAAAACTAAGATGGTTATAAATTTCCAATTGAAAATTTCTGAATCAAAATAATTTCCTGAGCCCTACGGTAGATAAGATGCTCTCCAAGCTGACAGCCATTGCCTGCCCTGAAGAACTCGAACGCCTTCCTGAGAGCCCAGCAATCACAGTGTTTTAATCTGCAGGGTCTGAGAAGTCGTGATGCACAGTAATAGAGTTATAATACTTATAATTTATGTCTTATTCTGAAACTAGGGGCTATTTTCATGAAGCTCAGATACAACTTTCAGTCCCTGTATCTAAGTATTATTTTCTGGTATGGAAAATATATGACCTCATTCACTTTATTGATTGATATCACCAGCAATTTCTATATTCTAATAATTACTTGTATTAAACTATTTTCTAACAAAAGAGGCAATAACCACTTAGATCTTTTAACTTCTATCCCTACAACTGTAATTGAGTTTAAAGAAAATTAGATATCTGGCTGGGTGGTGATGGCACATGCCTTTAATCCCAGCACTCGGGAGGCAGAGGCAGGCCGATCTCTGTGAGTTTGAGGCCAACCTGATCTACAAGAGCTAGTACCAGGACAGACTCCAAAGCTACAGAGAAACCCTGTCTCAAAAAACCAAAAAAAGGAAAAGAAAATTAGGTATCTGTTTCAAAAGAGTAGAGAATAGGAAAAGTGGCCCTAAGATACAGATGTGGGAAGGCCAACACATGAGTCAATACCTTCTCCTTAACTTGATAGGGACATTTGTATTTTTACAGAATTACCATGCGGACCTTTGAGGTCACGTGTTATTGTCAAAACTACCTATAATCAACCCCTAAAGGTTATTAGTCTGCTGTATTTATTTCACCCAGGCAAATCCTGTGTCAGATATTAAAACTGTGGGGCCGGAAGTGTAGCACACACCTTAGTCCCAGCACTTGGGAGGCAGAAGCAGGTGGAGTTAAGGACAAGCCTGCTCTAAATAGAGAATCCCTGGCCAGCCAGGGCTACTTAGTGAGATCCTGTCTCACCAAGAGAGTAACAACAGAGAGAAGTTAAAACTGAAACTAAAGATGATATATAAGTTAATTTTCTTTTAGGGTTGAAAAGTTTTGAACATTGGGAATTTGCTAAAATTGTTTATAAAATACTATAGGTCTGACTCAGTAGTTGTCATCAGTTGCTAATGTGCTTGTAGTTGTGATGTTAAGCACTGCCTCCCAAACAAGAAACAAGCCTGTTTTGTCTGGCTTGTTTGTTTAGGGTTTTTTTTTTTTTTTTTTTTTTTTGAGACACAGTCTGGCTGCATGGCTCAGGCTGGCTTTTAACTCAGTTCTGGAACTACAGGTGTGTGCCATTGTGCCCTGCAAGGACAAGGCTATACAAATTCCCAAATTAAAAATTAAACTGCCTCCATTAAGAAATTAAAAGATTTGGGATTTTCTGTTTTACTGAAAAACATTAACTTAAAACATGTCATTATTTTGTTAATGATTTTGAGTCTGAAACCATTTAGTACCATGTTTGTTAATGTTGGTCTTATTTGATTTGGCTCTTAGATCAAAGTTATGAATGTTCACATAGCAGTTTCCAGAAGGAAGGGTGAAGAAAGACTTTAGTTTGTATAGATTATTCCAACTACCATCTTATAATGCTATATTTCAAGCTTAAAGAAAATATTTTAAGATGGTAGTATGGTATTTTATACATCGTGAAATAATAAGTACATAATTTTCCCAAGAAAATTGATAACTGCATGAAGGAAAGGAAATTTTCAGGCTCTTTCAAATATATTTTAGCAATGCTGCTTTTTTCAGTTTTGCTTGCACATATTTTGTTTATTTTTGGGTCTGGCAATTTAAAAACAAAACCAAAAACGAATCATATCCATCCATTACTATCTTTGTGATTCAGGTGCTTGAAATTTCCAAGAGTATGTCTGTACAAGTCTCTATCTGTTTGGCCTCATTTTGGTATACCTGCAGACTTCATTTTGTTTTCTTTCTCTTAATTCTGTTAATTTATTTAATCTCATGGGAGAGAAAACATGACCATCCTTTTCTCTATGGTACTTCATTCTGTCATCCAGTTCATACTCTTAGCTGCTTTGGATCCATATATTTGTTTTTGTTAGTGGAGTGGCCGCTGCTTAGCCGCCATGGTAGTGTGCTAGTGTAACAGATGGAAACAAGTTATTTCTCTAGTACAACTTCAGTCTTCTTAGTTTTGCTTTGTGTCCACTATGCAATCTTAAACCTTTACGAGCTATACTGTACTGCCAAAAATAGCTTATTTTTCCATTTTAAAATTTTGTATATATGTTACTAAAAACTGAGGTAAAATTTACTTCTGTAGATGTTGCTGTTGGAAAAAGTTGTTAGTAAAAGTTATCCATATACTTTGGGTACATCTTTCCAAAAGAAAAGAAAAATTCTTCACTAAGATGAAAATTACTTTCACCTGTGTCAGAAAACTGATTTCCTAATGGGAAATTGCCTTTTCCATATTTTACTTTTTAGCAAAAAAAGTTTCAGACTTGACAGTCATGGACGTCTGAAAATGAAATTTATTTTCTGTTTTGATGTTATATGAGTAACAGTCCTTCTGTTTAAATCATAGTTTATATTCAAACATCTATAGCTCATGCCAGCTTTGTGTACTGACCAGTAGTCCCGTTTTTCTTCATACATTCTGCAGAATCCGTGCTCCTTAAATATTGGCTTAATTAAAATTAAAACATGCATTTCATTGTTTACCACCACTTACTTTCCTGATATACATACTACACAAAAGCATTGAACATGCTTGAGAAATAATTTGATTCTCTAATTCATCTGCGTGTTCTAAATAACCCCCATCCTCTGCATGTACAGCTTGCTGCATATGTTTAGAAAAGATGTAGATGGTTGTACTTAGCAACTTCTGGTTTTGCACAGTAAGAATATGGCACGTAAATGCCATTGCAATCATTTTCTGTTGTGCCTTTATATATTTTCATGAGCAGCTAAGAGTTGACAACATCTTTGCTCACAGAAATGGTTTAGTGAATGACAGGATGGTTTTCTTTTCCTTTGCCTGAGCTTAGTTAGCTGTACACCTGGTATTACAGAAAACAAGGCTTCATGGTAGATAATACTGAAAAAATAGATTTCCTGTTTATAAAGGTAAAATATAAAACCAATAAAATAAGACATGTATTTTTTACAATAATAAAATCTTTTAATAATTTATATCCTTAAAAATATTTGCATTAAAATGCTTTCCTGTCAACTTTTCATTTGTAATCCTTAATGTAAATTCCATGGCTAAAATAGTAATGAATTGACCCTGGAATTTGAAATTTTACCAAGTCCTCCTTTGCCTGGAAAAGTTATGATAGTTCCAGATCTCTACAACTTTAAAATAATTTCTGTTCCCTTGCATCCAACATACTTCTGGGAAAAGAAAATTTACAGGGTAGTAAATTCCTTTGAACTGGAATCTTCATTGCTCCTGAGTCATTCCAAATTTTGATAGCTAGGACTTTTACTTGAAACTATCAAATGAAAGATCCTTTTGAATATGATATATTTTCAGCTCTATTATTCTGACGTTATGACACTCAGTTTTATCTTTAACACCTTTGGTGGGTGGGAAAGAAGTAGGGTACACCATAAACTTCCTTGTTTCAGGTAGGTACAAATGAAGAAGTCAGTCAAACTTCTAATTTTATATCAAAAACAGCCTCCATTAAATTATGGAAATTGAATTCTCCCACTCTGTCTGGACTTGGACATAGAGCTTTCATCCATTATCACCATATCATTGCCTGTGTAGACCATCTCTAGTAGTCATACAGTTTAACGAATTTCTCTATTTCCAACCCTAAATTGATAATCCGTGGCTTTTATTTTATTGCTTAACAATGTTTGTATCCTTTATTCAGCACATAGTTTACACTGGCCTATTTTGTATCAGTCAAGATTTATCTCAGGTAACAACAGCTTTATTATTACTATTATTTTAATTAAAAGAGGTAGGATTACAGAAGAAAAATGTAAATTATGAAAAGGGACTTTAAAACTATTGCTTCTAATTTCATGGATATTGTCTTTTCATATATGTAATTGAGCAAAGGGGAAGTGTTTGTTTTGTGTAAAACAGTGCCACTCAACTCAGATGGATTTGTTGGCTTTGCTTTTTATATAGTCTGAATTTTTAAAGACAGTGAAATCTTATTGGTGTATTTTAAATCTTGACAGTGAAGCCTATTAATTTAACTCAAAAATTATATATATGTAGTTTTCTCTCATTTTAAATCATAGTTTCTAACAAATTATCTGACAAATTATACAGGTTCCTTCTAGAGGAATCCAAGTATATGCACTAGTGATAAGTGAAATTTAAACTTCATTTCTTTATATAGACTATTCTTTCTCTAAGTTTGTGTGGTTGAAACTCAGCATACGTTGTTGAGTCTAATCAGAGGACAAAGCATGCTTACTCATTTGATTCCCACTAATGGCTTGCTCCATGCAGTTTCAGTCTTAGGAAGAATTATTCTTTTTGGATTAAGGCTTCCCTAAAGATGTAATATTTTTTTAATGTTTTAGACCTTTCTTAGAAACTTTGGAAGAGCCCCAACAGTAATAAGACCAATTTCATTGTTTTAAAATGTAAGGATTTAGCCCTGAATGAAGAAGCTAAATAATTGCTATTACTTTTGTTTTATAAACATATATTATTTCCATTTTAAAATAAAAACAAACCTATCATGTTTGTTTCAAAAGATGTTTAATAAGGAAATTAATCTAAATCATTCCTCAAAACTGATGTCTGTTAAATTGTAGCTAAAATTTAGCTTTTATTTGAACATTGTGTGGTATCTGGGTAGCACACATAACTTGTACTTAAATCTTTCTTTACATTGTTATTGCATGTATTCATTGTATTTTCTAATGTGTCAGCTGTTTTCTCTTTATAGATTAGTATTTCAAAGTAACCATCTCATACTGATTCAAACTGCCATCTGGTCTCTAAGCTTGTTATGTGAAAACCTTTTACCATTGTCCTCCATTGCTGAGTTTGTTTGTAAAGAGCTACACCTGAGTTGTACATTTTCTTTTTCTTTTATTTGCTTCTGTATACAGGCTGGCTTAGCAGGAGCTCCAGCCCGTGCTGTATCAGCTGTAAAGAATATGAATCTTCCTGAGATCCCAAGAAATATTAACATTGGTGACATCAGTATAAAAGTGCCAAACCTGCCCTCTTTTAAATAAAATATTAAAAAGGCCACTCCCAGGTAAATCCAGAGGGAAAGTCATCTAAGTTTACCATGCAGTTGTTTACCAAAAATAGAGGAGGAGAGTCTTAACTTTGCTCTTGGATTTAAGTCAAGGTACTGTATAGAAGCTGCATAAAATCAGTATGGAAGTTCAATGTTGCTTTTCTTGCTCAGTGATTTTAAAGAAATTGAGTGGTTCCAGTGTGATTATTTTTTCTTTTCTAAATTGCATTCCTATGCCCACATAAAGGCATGCCTCTATATATTGGCTATTACAGTATTTCGAAAAGTGAGATGTTTCTTTAATTATGTACAACCCAAAATGTTGATGTTTTGTATGGATCACAAGTGCAGCGTTCTCTAATTCTTTCTGCTGTTTGTCACAATTGTTATTTAAAGAACCAAGTATGTATTGCATGAAAACATGACCTTTTCCTTAGTTTAAATAAACTCCAAGGTAGCTGGACTTCTAAAGTACCTTTCTGTTTTGCTTGGTATCTACTTTAGCAATAATTTTTTTTACAACCTCTGACTCAACAAAGTAAATAAAAGTATATTTTACCACTGTTAAACGCCTGTCAGTGTTGACTTTTTCAGTTCACACTTATGTTTTTATTCCTCAGAAGCTCACTGAGTCGTTGGGAAGCTGCCGTGGCACAGACTGAGGACTGTATCTCAGCGTGTTTGTTCTGTGCGATGAGGCTTGCAGTGCGAGAGGACATTATCTTTTTCAAAAATGTTAAAGAACTGTTTTGTTTTCCTATAACTAGCTTTGCCTTAAGCTCTTTGCCTCCCATTCTTGCCCAGATGATGCCCAATGATGTCAGCTGGCACCTGTTGGTGAGGATTCCAGTTCCTGCTGTAAAATTACAGCCGAAGGAACTGCTGGGTCCTGATTGGTTGGTTTTGCCTTTTAACTTCTGGCATGTGTTCTGATGTTTGGCCCATTGGCCCGTATCGTCTCCTGTGGTCTTACCTTGAGAACGGAGGGTTTCTTTTCAAGTTAGACCATGGTTTTCTATACAGTTGTTTTTCCCAGACATGTTTTTTTTTTTGAAGCACTTCTACAGATTTGTTTTACATATGAATTTTACTCTAAGAACGCCGTAAGAAAAAAATGACTTTAATTTCTTTCAAGCTTTGTCTGCTTTATTTCTCCACTTTAAGCAATGAGACAAAACCATAGCCTGTTGTTCTTAGGGGTGTTTTTTTCTTATACTGAAGCATATTTCTCTCTCTGTGGATTCCTAGTATGGAATCATACTGAGAAAAAGAAAATTGAACCTTCAGTTTTTAAAATTACCGCCAGCTTTGGGATAGTAAAAAAAAAAAAAAAAAAGACTTAGGTGAAAGTCCTACAAGCGGAAATTTGTGGGATAAGCATGGTCAGGAAGAAAAATTGCAGAACCCACATCCAGGAATGTGCTTCAGATATTGAGAAACTGCAGGAGACGGCAGTGGAGCAAGTTACTTAATGCTCCTGCTGTTGGTCTTGTAGATGTTTCTCCGTGGCTGGCTTACTGTGAGGCATAGTCAGTCAAGTGAAACGTTTAGATGTTTCAGAGTAAAACAAGGAAGAAATGTTCTTTTGAACATAGATTATTCATGTTTGTACTCCTAAACCACATCAAAATGACAGAAGTTTTAAAATTACTCGGATGCAAAGTGTCACAAAGAATTGCAGGTGGTAATGACTTTTTGGGAGGGAGGCGCTTGTAAGTGAGCAGGATGCACATAAAGCCGTCCTGCAAAGGTGAATGTTAGTCAGGCGGCAGGAAGTCTTGAAGTATGCGGGCTCACACAAACGAGCCCCCCAGTTTTAGGAGCTGGAAGTCCTAGAGCACTTAGAATAAAATTACTTCTAAAGGTCTAGAAAAATAAATTCACTTCGATATTCCCCCTGTTGCCTGTCCTCTCTGCAAGAGATGGGAGGGACAGGCATGACTTAAGACTGAGCACTGATGTATGGCAGAGGACCCTAAAAATCAGCCAAATGGTGATTTAAGTCAGGTCAGCCAGACTTAAATATCCCTCAACTCTGCCTTTGGAAAGGAGAAGACACTATTCTTCCAAGAGAAAAGACGTGTGTGTGTGTGTTGTTATTGTTGTTTTGAGACAGGTCTCACTCTGTAGCCCTAACTGATCTGGAACTCTCTGGGTAGACCAGGCTGGCTTGGAATTCACAGAGATTCTCCTGCCTGTCTCTCTCTCCTGCATGCTAGAATTCCAAGCATGCGCCCAGCATAAAACCTACAGTTATTAACTAAGAGCTTCTCACTGATGTCAGCCAGCCATGTCGTACTCCAGTAAACCTGTGCAGTTGAAAATTCTCTTCCCATGCTTCCTGTCAGGTCGTTAGGCCCGTGCTCTCAAGCAGATAACCCCACATCACCTCTATTGATGACTGGGAACATTGAAAGCTAGAAGCCAGTGCAGACAACACAGCCAAACTTAAAGGTTAAACACTTAAGAAATGAAGAGTTCTCACTCTATCCAACTTAATACCACTGTGTTTCACTGCAAAAGTACTCTCAGCTGCATACTCTAGCTGCTGCCCTAGGAACCAGTTCTTCATTGTCTTGGCCCTCTGCCCTGCAGCTGGGTGTTACCCTCTGTATCACTGCCTGCCTTCCCTGGGACTTCGCTGTCCACACCAGATGGAATAGTGGAGGAACCCTCTTAGCACTCTGTGTGTGCAGTTCTGAGGTGAAGGCAAGCAACACCGCCTGATATGTGAGAATGGAATAAACATTTCTCCTTTTCCACACTTTTAGGGAGACAGTTCTGAAGATACTATGAAAGCATTTCTCAATAATTTTCATGTATTAAGAGTCGTTTGTAGCAACAAGCAACCCTAATACTCTTTGTTTTAAAACATTCTGTTTGTTTAAAACAGTTTGGGAAGTAAATGAAATTATTGGATGAATATAAATTGTGTGTCTGGTCTCAAAGTTCCTGAAGAAGACTTTGAACTCTTGATCCTCCTGCCTCTACCTCTCTGGTTCTGAGATTGCTGGCATATGCCACCATGCCAAGCACAGTTACTGGATATATTTTATATATTATAGAATTGAATATTTAATAGAAGGATTAGGAGGTAAAGTTCACACAGTTTCTAGAAAAGTAAATTAAAAGACACTTGGGAAATAAAAGGTAAAATCAGAGAATCATTCCATGAAATTCTGTAGGTTGAGGAATCAAAAAAGATGGGGAATAATTGAGCATTTGTTTCCCCGGCATCCATTTCTCTTGCTGTTTACTTGAACTGTAAAAGTTTAGGGGTCAAGAGGCCCACAGAGTACAAGTGAAAAAGACTAATATAGTGCCCTAGATGGCCTGGTACTATGTAATAAAATAACGTACATTGGTACATTGGGTAGATTATAAATGGCAGACACTCATTTCTCAGTGTTCTAGACTAAGAAATTTCAGATGAAGAAATCAGATTTTTGTATGGCAAGTGCCTGGTTTTCTGGTCCAGACAGACACCTCCTAGTTGTGTCCTCAGAAGATGGCATGGTCTAGCCAGCTCCCTGGGACCTCTTAAGGGCATCAATCCCATTCATAAGGGCCCTATTACATGGTGCGATCATCTTCAAGTAGTTAAATTCCTTCTTTATAACTTTGTGCTGGCAATTAGCATTTCAACATGCGCTTTTGGCAGTGTCTTAGTCTCTTTGAGCTGCTGTAAAAGCTATGAGTAGTATATATACAAGTGACAGTTGTTTTTCGTAGGTCTGCAAGTTTCCATTCAAGATCAAGGCTTCAGCATATTTGCTGTTAGGTAAGGTCACATTCCTAGTAGAAGGCACCTGCTTGCTGTGTCTTCACACGGCAGACAAGCTTCATTAGGGGTGTGTGTGTGTGTGTGCATGCATGTGCACATGCGTGTGTGCATACATGTGCATTGTAATACATCCCTGGAGGTCAGAGGACAACTTGGGTGAGGTGGTTCTCTCTTTCCACTGTGTGGGTTCCAGGATTGAACTAAGGTTTGTCAGCAAGTGCCTGTATTCTATGAACCCCTGTTGGCCTTCTGTTAGTACCCTTAAAGCATTATTCATGAGAACTTCACTTCTGTGACCTAATTACATCTTAAAGGCTCTATTTTCTATATTATAATTTTGGGGATTAAGGTTTGACTTGTTTCATCATTGTACAGGGACACGTTCAGATCCTGATACCAAAACATGATTCTAAAATCTGTGAGGAAGTAAAGAGAAGAAAAATGTCACACATACAATAAAAATATTTTATAAACTGCAAGGAGAAATGACTTGAAACTCTGAAGAAAAAAATTTAAGCACAACTCTGTGCCAGTCAAATTATCAATTACATGTGAGATATACATCCTTTTTGAGTCTTAATACTAATACAAAGGTTTTACTCAAAATAACCTTGACAATATAACAATATCAAAGTGAGGGAAGTCTTTAAATATTTATATTTTAATGCAGCTGTATGTATGAATTACCAGGATAAAAAAATCTGTAAACAAATCTGTTAAGTAGGTTTTTTTTTAAAACAGATTCCTCAAGTCTTAAATATGTTAAATGTTCAAGAAGAAAGAACCAGAGTATATTGTAAGAATTAAAATGCTTTTTGTGGATCTACGAAGTAGTTGGTATAAAATTTTTAAAAGGTTTGGTAAACCAAACATAGCAAGATTACACTATTGATAAGAAAAGCAAGTCATCAATATCAATATCCAGTAAACCCATAGTGATGCTTGATCTCACTGGTAATCAGGGAACACGGGCTAAGGAACAGTTAGATGTTACTCACGTCTTGGCAAAAATTAGTGGAGTTGACTTACAGCTAATGGTAGAGGTGACTGAAGGAAACAAGAGATTGCTCAGGGGCTGGAGAGATGGCTCAGTGGTTAAGAGCATTGCCTGCTCTTCCAAAGGTCCTGAGTTCAATTCCCAGCAACCACATGGTGGCTTACAACCATCTGTGAAGAGGTCTGGCACCCTCTTCCGGCCTTCAGGCATACAGACAGAATATTGTATACATAATAAATAAATAAATAAATATTTAAAAAAAGAGATTGCTCATATTGATACCTGGGGTATGATTTACCCTAACATTTTAAAGAATATATCAAGTTATATAGAAATTTTAATGAAAAATAAACATACAAATATCTTGTGACAACCTTTGTTGTTTCTATATTCATGCAGAATTCCTTCCTATCATTGTTTCTCTTTTAAAATAGAATCTGTGTGTTTCTAATGTTAACCTTCGGGATCCTCCTGTCTTAGCCTCCTAAGTTCTGAGACTTCAGGTGTGTCCCACAATCCCTGACTGATGTCTTTTAATATAAAGACATTTATTACGTTGATTTTCTACCAACCAAAATAGAACATGAAATTAACTAATTGTTTATCTACCAGAAAATGGCTACAGTATTTAGAAACTGCCATACTTGTAATAGCAAATACTGGGATGAGCCAGTATCTGTCAAGG